GAGACTCTGATTTAAGTTAAAAGGTTGAAACAAGTTTTATATTGGTGGAACCATCATGTGTTTAAAAATATTTTCTCTAATATTTTGCAAGCTGAGAATCAGGTTAACTCTCTTGAATTAGCTTTTAAGAATGATCCTACTAATACTAATCTTTCTCTCTTAAAGAAATCCAAGGAGGATCTTTCTAATTTACTAGCTCAGGAAGAAGTTTATTGGAGGCAAAAATCTGTTGCTAAGCATTTGCTTGAAGCTGATAACAACAATAAGTATTTCCAAGCTTTGGTTAAGAGCAAAAGGGTTAAAAGTAGTATCAGTAAAATCCAAAGGGAGGATGGGACTTTTATTGAAAATTCTGAGGACATTGCTAATCTTGTTGTGAATCATTTTCATGCCAGATTTAACAAAGTTTTTACTCCTGATCAAATTATTGAGCACACTTTTATTCCTTTCCTTATTTATCTTAAGAAGAATATCTTTCTTTCTAGACCTTCTTTGGAAGAGGTTAACGAGACCCTACTAGATATGTATAAAGAGTCTATGGCTGGGTCGGATGGGGTTACCACTATATTTTTTCAAAAATGCTGACATATTATTGGTAATGATATTTTTAATGTTATTTTAGATTTTTTTTGCTGGTACTCCTATCCCAAAGTTTTTTACATCTACTTCTATTATGCCTAATCCTAAAAGCTATGCTACTATAAATTGGAATGATTTTAGACTTATCAGTCTCTGCACATTCTTTAATAAGTTGACTTCTAAAATTATTATGAATCATCCTACTACTATTTTACCAAAAATTATTTCTCCTAATCAGATGGGGTTTGTGAAAGGTAGGGCCATTACTGATAACATTCTGTTGGCTCAGGAATTCTATTAAGACTTGCATGTTAAGGTAAGAGGTGGTAATTTAATTTTGAAGTTGGATATTGCCAAGGCCTATGATAACATTAATTGGAATTTCATTTACCTTATTTTACAATTATTTTGTGTCAACTCTTTCTTTATCAAGCTTGTCAAGAACTATATTAAAAATGTTTATTTTTCTATTCTTGTTAAGGTTCAAACATTAGTTTCTTCAAATCTTCTCATGGTTTAAGGCAAGGTAGTCCTATTTCCCCGCTCTCTTTATTATTGATGCTGATTTTCTTTCTATGGGTCTTACTAATTTCTTCAACGCCTATCCTGACCTTTACTTTAGAACTTTGGGAGGTGTTCCTCTATCTCATTTATGTTTGTGGTTGATTTTATTATGCTTTCTAATGGGATTATTAATAAAGTTTAGAAGCTTGTAGTTTTTTTTTATTACTTTGAGAAGGTTAGTGGCTAGCCCTTTAGTAAAAACAAAAGTTATTTCATTTCTTCTAAGAGAATTTCTAATGATCATATTTTATCTATTAATATTCTTACTGGCTTTTCCCATGCTCAATTTCCTATCAAATATCTTGGAGTGCCTCTTTTCTTTGGTATAAGCAAATCCTTTTTGTTTGATGATCTCAATGCTTCTGTTAAAAATAGACAGTTATTGTGATAATCTAATTTCCTTAGTTTTGGGGCAGAGTTGTTCTTATTAAAAGTGTTCTTTGTCCTTTTCCTATTTATAGCTTTCATTCTCTTTTTCCTACTCAAACTGTTTGTGAAAGACTTCACAAGATTATTAATAAATTTTTTTGGAGAGGAACTGCTTCCAGTTCTAAAATTTACTGGGCATCTTGGGAGAAATGTTGTGGTGTTTTGGCAGAAGGTGGTCTTGGTTGTAGGAACTTTAATAACCTTCCTAAGTCTTTTTCTTTTAAACTTTGGTATAACTTTCATCCTAATGCTATTCTTTGGGCTAATTTAATGGTTTCTAAGTATTATATTGGTAAGCATCCTACTAATTATTTCTCCAAACAAGGTGATTTTATAGTCCACAAACGGCTTTGCAGGATTAAATGGGAGGTTGAGCCTTTCATCTCTTGGGGCCTTGGTGAAGGTAATATTTTCTTTTAGCAGGATTGATGGTTGGGTAAAATTCTATTGACTTTATGCTGAGTTCTTCTTTTACTTCTATGGTTAAGGTTAATAACTACTTTAATAATAACTCTTGGGACTATAATAAGTTTGCCAATGAGGTCCCTGATTGTATCCTCCATAGTATATTAAACTTACCTATCCATATTGCTTCTAGAGATATTATGTTATATGATCTTTCCAAAGATGGTGGTTTTCTTTTAAAGAGTGTTGGGCATACCTTTAGAGATAAAAGAAATATTGATAGCATTTTCCATAATATATAGCATAAGAGCATTCCCTCTACTATTTCTGTCTTTATTTGGAGAATTCTGCAAAGATTTATTCCTATCGATGATAATCTTATCAAGAAAGGGTGCATCTTGGCTTCTAAATTCCAATGTTGTTTTCATAAGGAAAATATGCATCATATTTTTTTATCTGGGAATGTTGCTGTTAAAACATGGGTTTATTTTGATGATCTTTTTCAACTAAACTATTTTAAATCTTATTTTTCTCTTAAATCCATGCTTAAGTTGTGGTTTATTAACTCTAAAGCTCACAAATGTAACCTCATTCCTTCCCTCATTCTTTAGTTTCTTTGGCTGGAAAGGAATCAAAATCTTTTCAATAATGTGAAAATGAGCCATCATAATGTTATTCATAAAGTGAAGGATAATGTATTAGCTCTGCTAGCTGTTAATCTGGTTTCTGTTAAGAACTTCAAAAACTGTTACTTTGTTGGTAATATTTTAGGTTTGATGGTGGAGGGTGTTCTTGCCATTTCTAATGTTATCTACTGGCATAAACCTCCCATTAATTTCTTTAAGCTTAATGTGGATGGAACTAGTATTGATTTACTTGGTGGTTGTGGTGGAGTGATTAGAGATAGTAATGGTGGCCGCATTATAGCTTTTGCAAATCCTGTACAAGGTAACTATTCTACTGCTGTTTTTAGAGCCATGTTGTATGGTATTAAATTGTCCATCTTTCTTAACTTAACTAAATTGCATATTAGAAAAAGAATTGTACGGTGAAGGAGAAATTTTTCTAGAGAGAGAAGCTCTGAGGATTTTCTAGAGAGAGAAATTGTTCAGGTTTTTTTGAATTTCAGTAACCGCGGGAATTCCGCGGCTGAAGGAGGCGGCTCCGGTGGTTCTCCGGATGCTCTTCGCCATTGATTCATGAACGTCCAACGTTCATCTGGCTATTTACGAGCTACTGGAAAAACGTCTAATGGAATTGTAATCAGGGATGGAATGAAGCCTCAATGCCGTTCGATTGCCGTGGAAGGTAAGGGAAAGAATGTCTTGTTGAATGATTGTGTTGCTACAAAGAATTTTGATGAAGATAGAAATAAATATTTGTCTGTTCTTGAACCGACGGTTCCGGAGGATTTTATCTTACTAGTTAACAATTTCGCTGGAGTTCTTGATTCGAAGAAGGATCGGAATGTCGAGAAGAATGTTTCGTCGATGGAGGATCGGAATGTGGATAACAATGTAACGATGGATGCAGGTCATTTGAAGAATGCTGAGGCTCCCTTGATACTGAAGGAAAGTCAGAGTGATTCAGTTATCCAGGGTAACAAGCATGAGATTGTTAAGGCTTGGTCGAAGCCAAAACATATCAAGATATCTTTCAACAAGGATCAAATAGAATTTACTGATGATGGAATGGCAGTGAAGATGAACTCTGATAAGGTGGTGGAGAATGTTGAAATTCTGAAGAACTCAATTGTTATTAAAGTTTTGGGAAGCAACATTCCATTCTCAATTTGTAATTTTGAATTGAGAAAGCAATGGAGTAAGTATGGGGGATTTCACATGACCTCCATGGGTATGAACTGGATACTCTGTTCGTTCAAGACGAATGATGCGATGGAAGAAATTTTGAATGGAGGACCTTGTTATGTTAGTGGATTCATTGTTGGTATGGATAGATGGTGTCTTGAGTTTGATCCCAATTCTTTCAAGGGTATATCAGCTCCGGTGTGGATCAGACTCCCGAACTTACCTCTATACTGCTGGGATTAAGACAATTTGGCAAGGATTGCTTCTTGTATTGGAACACCTATGTATTTTGATGGTAACACATTTCGATGGGGGAAACAGGAATTTGCTCGTATTTGTGTTAGAATTGAATTGGAAAAGAAGATATTGAATGGTGTGTGGGTTGAAGGCTTGGCTGGTAGATTTTTTCAACGTGTAGAATATGAGAAGATTGATCTTCTTTGCTATCATTGTGGCAAAGTGGGACATGAAGATAAATCTTGTCCAGAAAATGTATCAATTGGAATTCTGGATCAAAAGAATGGGAAGCCAGATGATGCTAATAAGGCTGATAAATCAGAAGTGATAGATGTGAAGAAATTCATTAACAGTTCAGAATTTGGTACTTGGATACATGTGCAGTTCAAAAACAAGAGTAGGTTGAACAGCAACTTATTGAACAGCAAAGTCGTGGGGGAGAAGAAAAGTATGGAAAACAGAGCAAACAACAATCGGCTGAGGACTCAAAAAGTTAACAAAGAGAAGTTGGTGACTGAGGTGAATGTTGTGAATTTAGTTACTGAACCTGTTGCTGGATCAACGACTGTAGAATGTGAGGGGATTAAACCGGTTGAAGTCCATTCTATTAATAGATTTTTTGTTTTAGCTGATTGTAGTGAAGATGAAAACAATGACAAGTATGTAGAAGATGTGAATTCAAAGAAGGATGGTTTTGAAGGAAACAAAAATGCACCTGCTCAATTGGAGGTGATTTCTCAAAGTGGAGCTGCCAAGTTGAAGTTAGCCAAAGAATTGAGATCTCTTGAGCCGGTGGAACCTGATTTTAAGAAGAAGAAAAGAGATGGAAGGGTGAGTTCCATTATTGGGGAGAAACCCCCATTAATTGTTTAAATGAATTCAATTTTGTTTTGGAATTGTAGGGGGGCTAGAAAGAAAGAAGCCTCCCTATATTTGAAAGAAGTAGTTAGAGATCATAATGTTTTCTTTATTGGTCTTATGGAGACCAAGATTTCTAGTAGTGATAGAAGGGAGATTGATTGCTTTATTGGCAAGGATTGGGATTATTGGCATTATCCGGCTATTGGTACTTCTGGTGGGATTTTGGTGTTATGGAATGTGACTTTGGTTTCTTTTATGGTTAAGGAATCATCTTCTCAGGTTATTGTTGGTGACCTTATGATTCCTAATATGGGGAGTTGGAGAGTTGCTACCGTGTATGGTAGTAGATGTTGTGTGGAGAGAGGCAATTTATGGAAGCAACTTGAAGATTGTATGGAGGACTCTATTCCCTCTATCATAGGGGGGGATTTTAATTGCATTTTGAGCAAGGAAGATAAGAGAGGAGGCAAGAGATTTCTTTTCTCTAAAGGTCCTAAAGAGATGAAAGGATTTATGGTGAATTTGGATTTTCATGACATTGGCTATATTGGGCCAAGGTTTACTTGGTGTAACAACAAGGATGGGACCTCACGTATTTGGGAGAGGTTGGATAGATGTCTTTTAAATTCATCTGCCATTCAAAAGGTCCCTCTTGTTGTTATTAAACACCTAGCAAGAATAGCTTCAGATCATAGTCCAATTGCTCTTAAATTGGATGCTGAAGCTCGTTTCAAGTCTAAAATTATCAGGTTTGAAGATACTTGGAGATCTTATCCGGCATGTAAGGGTATTGTCAGCTATTCATGGAAGAAAAAGGATGTGGGAAATGAGAATGAAGTGCTTCAGAAGAAGACCAGCCGAACACTAAAAACAATATTTTTTTGGAGTAGAAACAAATGCAAAGACTTGAATACTCTAAAGGAAAATCTGAAAAATGAGATTATTGATCTTCAAAGGAAGGAGGCTTTGGGAGAGAGTTGGACTGAGGAGGATCTTAAATTGCTCCGTAATAAAGTACATGAGTTTAATGTTACTTTAAGAAGGCTATCTACTTGGTGGAACCAAAGAGCAAAAGATAAATGGCATGAAGAAGGAGATATGAATTGTAAACTTTTCCACAATTTTGGAACGGCTCGTAGGAATGGGAATAGAATTAATCAAATCAAAGATGAGTCCAACAATTTGGTAGTAGATGAGGATCAAATCCAGAAAGTTTTTTATGACTTTTTTGAGAAGAAATGGCATCTTAAGGATTGTTGTTTAAGGGGATGGCCTTCGGTTTTACTGCAACAGAAGATTTTTTCTGAGGACAGCAGTATGCTTAATTAGGAGTTCTCGGTGAATGAGTTGAAATGCTCGGTCTTCCAGCAAGGTAATAATAAATCTCCTGATATAGATGGGGTTACTTCTTCTTTCTACAAAAGCTTCTGGAGTATTATTTGGGAAACCTTATGGAAAGCTGTTAATAATTTTTTTAAAACCGGTAGTATGTGTAAAGAATGGAAGGACACTCTTATTATCTTGATTTCTAAAGTCAAGAATCCTTTGGTTCCGGCCAATTTCAGACCTATTTGTCTTTGCCAAATGAATTACAAGATTATTGCCTCTATGCTTGTAAATAGATTGAAGAAAATTATTTTCAGATTGGTATTAGAAGAACAGATGGCATTTGTACCTGGAAGATCTATTTCTGAACATTGTCTTTTGGCTTAAGAAATGTTTCATAAGTTCAAGGTTTCCAAAAACAAAAAGGGTGCTATGGCTATTAAACTAGACATGGAGCAAGCCTATGATAGTATGGGGTGGGCTACTCTTCATCAAGTTCTCAAGTGGTATGGTATTCCATCTCACTTTTCTAAATTGCTCTTGGAATGTGTTACTGAAGTGAGGTTTTCTATTCTCATTAATGGTAATATTTCCAATTGGATTAATGCTTATAGTGGGTTTCGTCAAGGGTGCCCACTCTCACCTTACCTTTTTATTTTATGCTCACAACTATTGACTAATGCAATCAATCAAAGAGGTCATTCTCTTGGTATTCAAATTTCGTCTAGAGGACCAAAGATTACACATCTTTTATATGCAGACGATGTGTTAATCTTCTCCCATGCTTCTTCTTCTTTGGCTAAATCAATGAAGATTATAGTGGAGGATTTTTGCAAATGGACTGGTCAAAGAGTGAATTTCAGCAAATCTCAAGTTATGTTCGGTAAAATGGTGAGAAAAAATTTGAGAAGGAAGATTGCTAAAGTGTTGGGAATTAAGATAGTGAAGGAGATGATGTATCTAGGAGTGAAGATGTCTCTTAGAAGACCCAAGATAGCAGATTTTCAAGAGCTTATTAGCAATGTCATGGATAGACTTAATGCTTGGAGTAAGAAGTCTCTTTCTTTGGGAGGTAAACTCATCCTTATTGATAGCTCTTTACTTTCCATGCCAAATTATTTGATTACAAATTCTTTAGTTCCCAAAAGAGTGCTTCTTGAGCTTGAAAAGTTATGTATAAATTTTTTGTGGAATAAAAAAGGTGGCTCTAAAGGAATTCATTATGTTGCATGGGAAGATATTTGTAAACCAAGGAGACTTGGTGGTTTGGGTTTTCACTCTCCTTTGCTTAGAATTGGAGCTCTTAGATCCAATTTAGCCTGGAATTTTCTTCAGAAGCCCGATTCACTGTTGCATAGAACACTGAAACATAAATATGGGGTTGATATTATGCATGAAATTCCAAAACCACTTGCTCAAGTGCTTGGCCCATACTGTTGGATGGGGGAAAGATTTTGAGGAATGTGGTTAGATGGAGAATTGGTAAAGGTAATAGTATCAGTGTTTTATATGATACTTGGTTATTTGACAAATGTATAAATCGGTGGCCTACCTTTGTGGATTGTGATTACCTTGAAAATGTTAATATCAATGAGCTCCTTTTAAGTAATGGGGAATGGAATTATGCAAAGCTACAAAGGGAATTTCATCAGGAATTGATTTCTCTAATCATTCAAATCAGTTTTGATTAGGAGAGGGAGGATAGCATTGAATTGATAAATTGGTATTCTAGGAAGACGGTTTCAGCTCTTGTTTTTGAATCCATTACTTCCTACAGGCTGAATGAAGAGGAAAATGGATTCTCTAATTGGGTGATGAAGTCAAAACTGAACAAAAAAGTTGAAATTTTCTGGTGGAGGCTTGGCAAGAGAGCTATTCCAACTAATCTGTTTTTGAAGAATCGAAACTTATCTGATTTTGTAAACTGTGCTAGGGGCTGTAATTCCATTGAATCTTATGAGCATATTATTGTTCATTGTAAATATATGGTTGAGGTGATTATGAAAATACGTAAATGGGGTATTCACATACCAATTTTTCACTCTTTGGACAACTGTTTACAGGGCTTGGAGGCAATCTCTATGCAGAATTTTGGTATTGTGGGATTATATTGCATGGTTATATATTTGTCCTGGAAAAATAGGAATGAAGTCAAACATCAAAAACCTGCTCTGCCGTGTTCTGTGGTAGCGTCCAATGCTCTTTATTTGGCTACTTCTAATTCTAATCCTTTTCTTGTAAGTTGGGGCACTAATCTCCTTAGGTAGTCTCATGATCCTTGGTGCCCTCCTCCAAAGGATTGGATTAAAATCAATGTGGATGCTTCTTTACTTGCATCCAATCTAGTTGGGATTGGTGGCATTTTTAGGGACTTCAAGGGCAGATTTATCAGTGCTTTTGGGAAGAAGAAAATTCATTGGGATATAGCTGAACTCTAGCTAGATGTTGTGCTTGCGGTTAAAGAATTTCTTTGTGATTGGATGCTAGAATGCAAAGAAATCATTGTTGAAAGTGATAATTTAAATATTATCAAATTCATTCAAGACTCTTTGAAGAAGAAGAATAATTGGATCATGGATAGGTGGCCATACAAGGATCTGTGCTTATTGAATGACTTCAATAAGGTAATTTTCCATTATGTTTCTAGGAATTGTAATAAGGTAGCTAATTGTTGTGCTACCTTGGCATTGGATAATAGCTTTTATTTTGATATGTTTTCTTTGGAAAGCATTCCGGCCTAGTTATGGAAACTTATCAAGGAGGAATGTGATCCTTTTATTACTTGTAATTAGTTTCGCTACAGGAAAATCACCCATTTCCGGGGGGCTTTTCAGACGGAAATTGAACCTTTTCCGACGGTTTTGTAGTTTTCCGGCGGTTTTCCGACGGTTAATTTACCGTCGGTAAAAACGGCGTAGGAAAATAAATTCCGGCGGTTTTTACCGGCGGCAAATTATTCCGGCGGTTTGCCGGCGGTCATAAACCGCCGGTCAAATTAAAAAAAAAAAAAAGTACATACGATAAATTTTGTAAGGCTCCAATGAAATCTCGATCAAAACGATAGAGGAAAATCATCGTCTCGATATCCGTTAAATCAATTAAATCAATATCTAATCAATCAAATCAATCATCTTTGGTCAATATTAACAATCGGTAAGAAATCATATAAAACAATCAAACCAATACATCGTAAGAACGATTGAAATCAAATCAATACAGTAAAACCTATTCCATATCAGTCAATGAATCACATGCAGCAGTTCAATATGGTGTATCAATGAAGCGATAGTATCAATGAATCAATAGTATCCATGTCCATAGTATCAATAAGTCAATGCAATATCGATATCCATATCATTATCAGTATAAATGCTCAGTGACATGTACAATATGCAATATCAATAAAATCGTATAGTAACAGTAAACCCGTAAATCCGTTAAATCCATTCAATATCAAAAAATCAATTCTATATCAATAAATCAATTGATCTCAATAAATCAGTAAATCCATCAAGAAATCATAAGAATAGTTTTGTACGCATGCAATACAATACAGTAATCTTACTTAACAAGTACAATCACTGGCTATTAAGGCGTTTTTCAAGTCGATAATCCATAGTGTTGTTGTAAAAATCCATAAAGATATCTGTTGGTTCAATAAGAGTCGTCACTATGTGCCCGTCGGCATAATAATCTCTTTATGACTCCCAATCGTTGTATCAATGATCAATAGAGGATATCGCCAAACCCTTTTTAAAGGAAAGCCTGTCGGCCCACCATCCTGTACAGGTCAAGTCAATCTCAAACCAATGGTTCAATCAGTCTTCCCTTGTCTTTCAGTAATAATAACAATAATTCAATCATATATTCACATTCGTATGCATATTCAATCATTCAAATCATCAATTCAGAAAATCAGAGGTTGTATGAGAAATCGGCGGCATAATGGCGGTAACAGAATTTACACAGAAATTACAGATTCAGAACTTTACCAAATTACCACAGAACATGTAAAACAATAATATAAGACTTTCATTGTACTGAAGTAACATTTTTCAACATCCTGATAATTATCTATTCGATAAAAATCACACAGAACTCAAAATACCTGATAAAAACTTTACAGAAAATACTCAAATCGTGCAGAATAAGCATCTCAGAAACATATCAAAAGTTGTGCGGTAAAACTTTCGTCAATACAAAATTATATGCGTTTTTCGGTAATGGAAACACAAATCTGAGCACAGAATTATCAAAACTCAAAATCTTTGAAAATAGAAATATGATTCAGAGTCCTTACTGCGAGACGAACAAATCTTCCAATAACGACGACGGACGAAAATCGCTCTGCGGCCTCTGAAACCAAGCTTTTCCTTCTCTTTCGTCTCTTTCTCTCTCCTGATTTCACTTTCTCTCTCTTCAAATGATTCCAAAATATCTCTATCGGATATTTGTTAACACTGATCATCCTAGACGATCCAAAATTCATCCCGGGATGATTTGCCCTCTGGCAGAATTTCATAAAGACGAAATTAAATAACGTCCGGACCTTTCCAGGTTCGTACAGACGAAATTGACAGATTCTTCACAATTTTCTTCAGTTCGTCCCGTATTAAATCCAGTTCGTACAGACAAACTGCACTAAAAAAAATCAGCTTTGGAGGGGGTTTTACAATCTACCCACCTTAAGAAAAATGTCGTCCCCGACATTTCCCTTAAGGGCGCGGATGCAGAAATCGACAAACAAATCCGTCCAATCAAAACTCAAATCAAATCGAATCGAATCAAAATCAAAACTCGTTGATATCCATACAGTCATACAGTTCATTCAATCACATGTCATTCAAATATGTATAAAGAATGATGCACTTGAAAACATCCATTCTACCAAACTATCAATCAAATCCTTTCACTACACTTGATATGATACCAATCTGTGACGCCCCAGGCATCCATAGTGAAAGGATTCATCGACAGTCTTGATCAATCTCCATTCTGCTCCCTTGCCCTGACCTGAAAATATTAACCACATATAATGAGCTTCAAAAAGCCCAGCAGGTCACCTAATACCTATAACTGAAATCAAAGCACGGTACTGAAACAATATGCATGTTAGTCAATCAAATCCATAACAGTCAATTGCACATGATCAGTGAATCTATGTAGATACGAAATCAATAGTCAATGCACAATCAATAAAATCCGTAGTCAGCAGTAGAAGAATCGTTAAATAGCAGGAAGAAATCCGTAAAGCTCAATAAATCAGTATATACGGTAAATCTTGTAAGGATCCAATGAAATCTCGATCAAATCGATAAAGGAAAATCAACATCTCGATATCAGTTAAATCAATTAAATTAATATCGAATCAATCAAATCAATCATCTTTGGTCAATATTATCAATCGGTAAGAAATCATATAAAACAATCAAACTAATACATCGTAAGAACGATTGAAATCAAATCTATACAGTAAAACCTATTCCATATCAATCAATGAATCACATATAGCAGTTCAATACGGTGTATCAATGAAGCGATAGTATCAATGAATCAATAGTATCCATGTCCATAGTATCAAAAAGTCAATGCAATATCTATATCCATATCAGTATCAGTATAAATGCTCAGTGACATGTACAATATGCAATATCAATAAAATCGTATAGTAACAGTAAACCCGTAAATCCGTTAAATCCATTCAATATTGATAAATTATTTCTATATCAATAAATAAATCGATCTCAATAAATCATTAAATCCATCAAGAAATCATAAGAACAGTTCTGTACGCATGAAATACAATACAGCAGTCTTACTTAACAAGTACAATCACTGGCTATTAAGGCGTTTTTCAAGTCGATAATCCATAGTGCTGTTGTAGAAATCCATAAAGATATCCGTTTGTTGAATAAGAGACGTCACTCTGTGCCCGTCGGCTGCCCGTCGGCATAATAATCTCCTTATGATTCCCAATCATTGTATCAATGATAAATAGAGGATATCGCCAAACCCTTTTTAAAGGAAAGCCCGTCGGCCCACCATCATGTACAGGTCAAGTCAATCTCCAACCAACAGTTCAACCAGTCTTCACTTGTCTTTCAGTAACAATAACAATAATTCAATCATATATTCACATTCATATGCATATTCAATCATTCAAATAATCAATTCAGAAAATCAGAGGTCGTATGAGAAATCGGCGGCATAACGGCGGTATAAAGAATTTACACAGAAATCACAGATTCAGAACTTTACCAAATTACCACACAACATGTAAAACAACAATATAAGACTTTCATTGTATTGAAGCAACATTTTTCAACATCCTGATAATTATCTATTCAATAAAAATCACACAAAACTCAAAATACCCGGTAAAAACTTTACAGAAAATACTCAAATCGTGTAGAATAAGCATCTCAGAAACATATCAAAAGTTGTGCGGTAAAACTTTCGTCAATACATAATTATACGCGTTTTTCGATAAGGAAAAACAAATATGAGCACAAAAATATCAAAACTCGAAATCTTTGAAAACAGAAATAGGATTCGGAGTCCTTACTGCGAGACGAACAAATCTTCCAACAACGATGACGGACGAAAATCGCTCCGCGGCCTCCGAAACCAAGCTTTTCGTTTTCTTCCTTCTCTTTCTCTCTCCTGATTTCTCTTTCTCTCTCTTCAAATGATTCCAAAATATCTCTATCGGATATTTATTAACACTGATCGTCCCGGACGATCCAAAATTCGTCCCGGGACGATTTGCCCTCTGGCAGAATTTTATCCA